CTCTCTCTCTCTCTCTCTCTCTCTCTCTCTCTCTCTCTCTCTCTCTCTCTCTCTCTCTTTGTCTTTCTGCCTACCTGTCTGTCTGTCTGCCTACAGCAGTGCCCACCCGAATGTCTGCGATATGCAATCCATGTTTGCCTCGAGGTCGGGACGTGTCGACCCCACCTACTCCACTCCCCTCGACAATTCACCGTTTGTTTACCTTCGTCACCCCCACACCCACGCCTAACCTCAATATCTTCTCTCCCTCCCCCATGCCCGCCTTCTGTCTCCCCCCCCACATACGCCGACTGTCGTCCACCAAGACCTTTCTGGCGCGTCCCGCGACAAGCTCCGGTTTCTCGGCCCTTCTCTCCCCCGGGCTGGCGCCGTTCAAGGCAAACGCGGCCATCGAGGCCCTCCTTTCCCCCAGAGACGTGTCGTTCCGGTGCGGAGACTTCCCCGTCATGGACCTGGAGTGCGGCTACGGAGAGAACGCTTCCGGCGGCGGCTGGGGTGGACCACGGGTGGTGGAAGGTGTCGGTGAGATCGGCGGCGGTACCGACGGCGGCGGTACCGACGGGGGCGGCAGCGGCGGCGGCGGCGGCGGCGGTGGTGGTGATGGTAGTGATGGTGCTGGTGACCGCGGCATCGTCACGGGGAGCGGGGACGGCGGCGCGGCGGTGTTGTTAAGCCCGGCGGCGGCGGGTCCCGGGCCGGAAGAGTTTGGTGCGGAAGGGGATGCTGGTCAGCTCGTGTCGCGGGTGGCGAGCAGTAGGAGGACGGCGGTGGAGGTGCCGGCGGTACCACCAGGAGCAACAGATTTTTCAGCGGAAGCGACGACGGCGGCAAGATTTGATGCCGAAGACAGCGGTAGCAACAGTCGGGTGTGGGTCCTTCACAACTTCCTCGCGGTGCGCGGGCTGCGCCGCCTGTCGCTGAATGGCCTCTCTGTGTGGCTGGCCAACTCCACGTCCTCCCTGCTCGGGATCCCACCGGAGGGAGAGTACGAATACCTTTACTACTACGGGGCCGGGGCCGACGACGGCGGCGGCGGGGAAGACGAAGATCTCCTTTTTCGATTCCACCGCGCTTTTGACGGTTTCAGCGGACTGCCGCTGCCGGGGCCCGAGGGCAACAGCTCCTCCCTCGCCGCCGCCGTCTCGATACTCCTCCTGCTGGGAGACGCCCCCGACGGGGGGAACGACTTCCCTCCGATAACGCATGCCACACTGTGAGAACATTTTCTTCCTCTCGCTCGGCTGGGGTCGGACAGTGTAGCGGAGCGTTCCTTCGGGGCGAAAGGGAAGAGGCAGCCCGTGTGTATGTCCCGTCTTCGCAGGAAGAGAGGGCGTTGTACAGGGTGCCGCATGAGGCAGGGGAAAGGGGGTGGATTCCCCTGTCAAAACTCTTCGTGTGTGTGTGTGCCGATTTGTTGTCTCGGTTGCTCAGTTGGGTGCAGCGTACCCCGAGCTATTGTAGATGGCATTGCGGTGTCGGCTAGAGCAGAGTGAGGGGGCACCGCTGCTGCACACACGGCGTATCTTCCGGTCGTTGGAAGTAGCGGAAGCAGGCGTGCACCTCTCTTTGTTTCAGTACAATAGCATCACGACACGTCGCGTCGAAAGATCTTCCGCAAACACACCACCCCCAAGGTTTAATCATTTTCGTAGAGAATGCCCCAGTCTAAATCTGGAAGTGTACAAGAAAGCCGGTTCGCGGGAAAATACAAAGAAAAGACGATTGTTCGGTTCGTGACGAAATGTGGACGTTGCGTGAAGTGCTTTGCCTTGCCTCTGCTGGTGCTCTCTCCCTCTCTCAGGTTTGTGCTTGTGGCGGTGGAGCTAGCGTTTTCTTTCGCGATGGGCGTCTCGTGCCTGCTCTTCAACGTGAGCCTATTGCGGAAGCTGGCCAAGGAGGACCAGCCGACGCACCACAGCCAAGGAAGGCACAGCATCGGCGGCGGCGGCGGCGGCGGCGGTAGCAACAGCGGCGGAGGCGGCGGCGGCGGACTATGCGGGAACATCGGTGACACCGCCGTCGGGGTAGCGAGAACGAAGACGGAAGACGGGGACAGGAACGAGGATCAAGGGCAGCGGGAGGGAGGCGCCGACGACCCTTGGCGGAGGCGAGTGCGTGGGTCGTCGGCGGCGGCGGCGGCGGTGACCGCCGGCGCTGAGTTCGGCCAAGGCCGAGGAATCGGCAGTCTGCTTTCGAGGAGGGCGGGGTCCCGGGTGGACCTGTACTATGACGACGACAGTGGTGAGGATTACTTGGAGACCGTGGCGATGAGCACGCGGGATACGGCGGCGGGCGGCCGGGCTGCTGCAGGTGCGGGTGCAGTGTTTTTTTTTTTTTTCCTATTGCTGGAGCAGGGACGAGATGTTTCGTGTCGAGTGCAGCACGGCAGATTGTCAAGCCGCTCTCTGTCGAGCAGAAAGGATTGAGTTGAGGCCGGGGGATTAAAACCAGTCCGGCTCTTCTGTCGTATCGCGTGCACTACTGTAGCGAGCAGGGAGGCAGTCCTGTTTTTTTTTTTCCCCAGGCGGTTGGCCTCATGTCACGGTCCGCGTAGGAGTGGACACCTCGACGTGCGGCTCAATTCGCGGAGTGCAGGAGTATTGAGGCGAGCATTCAGAGGCTCGTTGGTCGATAGATTCTGCGTGCGGATCTTTGGTGCTGCAGAGCATCGTCCACTGCACCCCCGTGCCACTCTGACCCCCCCGTCCCTTGCTACTAAAACGCAAGACCAATTGAATGCTCTCATGTTGTAACCCCCCTTAAACACCACGTACATATATCGATGCTAACAAACAACAACGCCGGACAAAATCCTACCAGGCCGGAGCAGCGTGGGCTCCTTGGACGACAGCGACACCTACAGCAGTAGCGACGGGCGACTTGACATGGACGACAGCGAAAGCGACGGCCGCGGCAGTTTCCAGTACCAGGAGCAGCCTTTCCGCAGCGGCCAGCGAGAGGGTAGGACGCAGGAGTTCCCTCGGCCCCGGTCTAGGACAAACACACTGGGCAGGAGGAGAAGGTCGTCGGGGGTGAGTCGAGGCGCGAGCACGGCAGCAGACGAAGACGAAGAAAGGAGGATGGCGCTTATTGGCGGCGGGGTGGGCGGGACTGCTGGTAGCGGCGACGCCGGCAGCGGCGGCAGCGGCGGTCGCGGTAGCAATCGCGTGGGGTTTGTCGACCTCCTGAGGCCGTTCATGGCCTCAGTCAAGTTTTGGTGATCGTTGTGTAGCCTGCTTTGCGTTTTGTACAGATCGTGCTGAGAGTTGGGGCTTGTTTCGTACAACCGGTTCGTTGTGACCACATTTGGCGTGTAGCCTTGCTTTACGGAGAGAAAGATAGAAGGTCTCTCGGGTGCCCGCAGTTTTCCGATTGGTCATTTTTTTTTTATATGGAGGTTTCCGATTGGTTGAAAATCCCTGGTCAACCGGCAACGTCATCCAAGGCGGTGTCACCATCTTTCTCTGTTTCCTGCAGAAATGTGTAGTACACGCTCACTGAGCGAGGTCGCTCTAGACCAGCTATAACTGGAGATGTACCCGATGGCGGCCATGCGATTCGGTATCGTGGCCGAACTTTGGGGACAGCGCTCTCCGTCAAGTATTGTTTTTTTGGTTTGACCTGTGGAGATGATTGGGTGTACCTGACACGCGGTATGACTGATCTACGGAGATTTTGGGGGTTCCTAAGGAACTACCGTATATGACTCAAGATAAAACACCCCCTGGATCGATTTTGAAAGCTCGATTACTCCACGACGAAGAGGATGCATAAACGAAGCGATACATTTTCGAAAAGCTCTCGACGAGACGGTTTCAGCGCCGCCATTTTCGGCGCTGTGACTGTCCGTGCAGTTGAGAAATCGAGCTTCGAAAATTGGTCACGGGGGTGTGTTATCTTATGTCATATACGGTACATTGGATGGGTTGGGTAAATGTGTATAAGATTGACAACAAGCGGCAGGTCCCTCGAAGGTGTTGTATGTTGTCTAATCCAACGACTGCACGTAGGCCCGGTGGCAACACGAACATGAGGTAGGGATGGGAGGTGATAGGACACCTGCCCCGTACAAGCAATAGCACGCCATCCAGGCTAGAAGGCTCGACTCGGAAGCAAGTCCGGCGTGGGTGTACACGCGCAACGACAGCTTTTCCCGGCATCTCAAACGATAGAAATTAGTGCCGACAAATGGCCATGGTGGGTAGTTTTTTCCTGACGTCTCAAACGAAGGAAATATTTGTGCTGACAACAGAGATAGAGACGCAGAGGAGAGACGGAACCCTTCGAAAGAGATCGATCTCTCGTGCTTTCCCCCGTATGGAAGATGGCGAAATGGCTTCAAGCGGGATGGGCAAAGACAGTCCTTGATACTCGCTGGTCGTGCTTGCTCATATGCTGCAATGTGCACATGTGCGCGGAAGTAAAACTGCTGTGGTCAATATATCCGACGTCCACCCAACGGCTTTGACGGGCTTGGGTCATCAGGAAGAAGTCACCAGCCATGGATCTTCGACACAGCTGCGGTACGACATTCCTGCAGGATCTTGGCGAGTGCAATGGAGTGCTGTGCTGTATATAGTTGCCAAACTGGTACAGCATCAGACTCGGTGATGTCATGCGTGTCATGTTGCCGAAACGTCGTCGAAACGTCCAAAGAGTGCGACGGTTTCACTGGCTCCCCCCACCATTTCTTATCTGCGGCCCCCGTCTCAAACGCGGAACGCGGCACATACGCTCTTGTGTTCGGCGCTTCGGGCAGTGCACTTGCTTGCTTTTGACGGCGAAAATGCGTGAGGAGCTGGCCAGACTACTTGATGGCCTCACCGGAACGGTTCGTCTTGGCAGCACTGACCCACGGTGTGTCCCTTGGTCGCTCTTTGTCCTTGCCCTTGCCTCTCTTTGCATTCGGCGAACCACATACATGGGACTGAATGCTTGTCCATCGTATTTCGTATTTCCTGGCCCACTTCGACGCCCTCCTGCGCTGCCCCAGCATTTTGTATGCTGCGGTGCTGCGGTGGGGTAGGTTGTGGTAGGGATGCTGTTCGAATGTACGCTCCTGCTGTCAAAGCGTCACCCTTGCCCTCGTCTTGAAAGGATGGTCTAGTTTGAACCTGGATAAGCACTCAGCGAACCTCGCCGCTTGGGCTGTTGCGCAGGGCGGAGAGAAACACACACACATCGCATTCGCCTGCTGGTTGTTCACTGCCCGCGGCTTCCGCCTGCTGGAGCTAACATACAGATCATCGCCGCTGAAGCACATTTCTCATTCGCCTGCCGCTTTTTTCAACGGTGTTGGAGATCTGAAGTCTTGCTAGAGGACTAATAACGTGAGCAGAACAGCAGCGGTACCACAGCAGCAGAGCTCTCCGGTAGATTGGTTAGACTTCCCATCGTACACGTCACTTGTGGTTCGAAAACCGCGGCTTGCAACAACGACACGCAGCTGTCGTTTCGATACAACACAGCAGCCGAGGAGTTTTTACCTGTCACCAACTTATGCAGTTCGGGGACCTCATCGATTCTATTGTACAAGCAAGAGCGTAGACGAGCACGTTTTTGTTGAAAGGTGGTACTTGCGTCTCCGCTACAACAGCAGACGCTACAACAGCAGTACGGGTAGGTTGTTGGAACAACCAGCGGACACCCACTCCCAGCTCTGGGTGGTACTTCGCTGTAGTCATTTGCCGGACGGCGTCCCTCTGTGATGATCCCGTGCGCCAGCCATCTCAATGACAGCGAGTCGACATCAGCGCGTTGAAAAATTATTTAGTCCCAAGCTTCCCATGCCTGTACCACGATGCGTCTTTTTTTTTCCTAGTATGACACAACGAACCTATGTCTAAGACAAGAGTCTACGACAGATTAGCGGTGAATCCATAGCGTCAGTAAAGGCTACCTGTGTTTCCATGATTTCCCGAGCAGCATACAGCGACATCTCCCCCGTGGGTAACAGGGTCAACAAGACAGTGTGGTAGCCGTTTTGTGCATCTATCTGCATGTTATGCTGGGAATGTACGGAAGGGATGTGTTGGGTTGTTGGTTTGTCGTTTTATCCAACCTTGTGGGGTCATGTGCATACGATATCCCGTTTCGACCAAAGAAGGCACGACTTTCTTGACTCGTGTGGGTTTCTTCGTGCTTCTTCGTGATCTCGCAGATGGGAGTCTCTCCTGGGCTGCGGGTCCAGGGTTCTCGGGCTAAGCCTCTCCGAGGCAAAAGTGGTGGACTTCTGCGACGCCATGTTACGTAACAATCCCTCCACTGGGAACTTCGGGTCTCTCGTGGCGCTGACAGTCGCGACGGCCGATGAGGTGTGTTGTATATTTCGCTTCCGCCTCTCTCTCCTCCGCCACCTTGTGGTGCACCATGAGAGCACCCTTTCTCTCTTGACGGCGAATGAGGTATGCCCTTTGTTTTGCTCGCCTCCCTCTCGCCGCCGTTTTGTATTAAGTAGGGCACGGTTTCTTCTTGTGGCTGCTGCTCTTTGTTGTTGCCGTCATCCGCAGGGTGCGTGTTGCTTCTGTGGGCTCGTGTAGGTTTTGCGTGCTCCGCTGCCTTTGGCTACCTCTTGACTCTGTGCGCACTTCAAACCTTTGGCCGGGTCTTTTCCCTACCATCTTCCCTCCTGCCGTGCACACTCCCATTCTCTACATTTGCAACAGAAATGCCTTCCTTTCTTCTCTTCGTATTGGACGCTTCTCGAACCGAGCATGATACTACGTTTTCTCAACCTCGTGCCATCCATCTCCAGGCCTTGTCTATCGCTTCCGCCGTCGCTGAGGTTGCCAACACCACTGGAAACGGCGGCGGAGGCGAAGCAGCAGCAGCAACAGTAGCACTAGCTGCACGGCACAGCCCGGAAGGGTTTCCGCGAGCGCTGGCGGCGTTACGGCTCACCCGGCTGTTCGCCGCCCGCATCGTGTCCACCCTCGGCGCCAGCCAAGTCCGTGCCCAGTTCTACTCCCGCGGGAGTCGACGAGACGGCGATGGGCCGGCAGGTAGACGGGCAGCAGGCGGCGGGGCAGCGGTCGGTATCACAGGAGGAAAAGGCGCGGCGGTGGCGGCGGCCGCCGGTAGGGCCAGCAGCGGGGGCGGGGGCGGGGGCGGCGCCATCACGGAGGGCCAGGAGGAGGCCCCGGAGCAGAACGGTGTAGCCGCCGCCGCGGCCGCTGCTCCGGCTGACCCGGTAACGGCGCTGCTGTCGTCAATAATGTCCCTCCTGTGCGCGTCGGGGGACGAAGGAGGCATGGCGGGGAGGACGCCGAGGAGACGCAACGGGGGGGGGGGGNTCTCAGTTGAGGGTTTCTCCGACTTGCAGCTGGAGGCGGTCGGGCTCCTCCTGGTGCTCCTGGGAACGCAGGCGTACGGGCCGCCGCCGCCGACTTGGGGCTCGTCGCCTGGCCGAGCAACGAATGGCGGTGGTAAGCAAGCGGTGGTAGGTGGTTGGGTAGCGGAGACTCCCTCGGGTTGAGAGGTTTTTGGTTTGACCTGGGGTTGTGTGTGGAGGCCGGCAGCAGGGCCGTCGGAAGATCGTCGTTGCTGCTGGTGGAGGCGGTCGTAACCGTGGGACGCTCTCCCACTGCTAAGTTTAACCAACCGAAACCTCGTTCTCCGATGACTCGCGGGAAGCGCTTGGAGGTGTGCTTGAACGGCTGTGCGTACGGGGATGCCCGTGTACTGTCTTCTTCCGGCACACAAGGCAATTCTTTCGCAGCATTGATGCTGGTGTAGAATCACACGCGTGCTCTCGCGCTTCAAATCTCCATGAATACCAGTCTTGACAGCATGTCATTCTAACCTAGCGCTTCCATCCTGCCCCCCCGCCGCCAACTCCGCCCCCGTCCTCTCCTCTGTCCCGGACAACAAGGTGCTAGCGCTGTCGACAACGTCTTTCTGGACGCCCTTCTGAGGGAGGCGTCGTCGAGCGGCGGCGGCGGCGGCGGCCGGCCCCACGGCTGGGGCTGCGCTCTCCCGCGCGCCGTCCTGGGGTGGTTCGTCCGGAGACCCGCGGCGCCCCCCGGATCGGCGTCGAGCGCGTTGGTGAACGCCTTGTGGACAAAGCCGCCGCCGTCGTCCCGGTAAGGAATCGTAGTCAGAGAATGACGCCGGGGGGGGGGGGGGGGGGGG